CGGGGTTTCTCTTATGCTCATCTTGATAGAGCTTTATGTAATAGCAAATGGGACGAATTGTATCCTGAAATAGCCATACATCATCTTCATCGCATGCAGTCTGATCACAGACCAATTCTCATCTGTGTTGGCAGCTCTACAACTAACCTTCGCCAACCTCAATTCAGATATTTCTCTGGCTGGTTACAACATGATGATTTCAACCGAATGGTGAAGGATAACTGGGTAAACTCTGAGTCTCTTTCAGACACTATTTCTTTTTTTACTAATGCAGCTGATACATGGAATAAGACGGTGTTTGGTTATATTGGCACAAAAAAGAAGATAGTTATGGCAAGACTTCGAGGAATACACAAAAGCCTCAATAGACGTCATTCGGCTTTCCTTATCAATCTTGAAACTGAACTCCTCACCGAGTTAGAGCAGCTCCTAGACCAAGAGGAAATTCTATGGAAACAACGCTCAAGAATAAATTGGGATACCCAAGGTGATCGAAACACAAAATACTTCCATAGAAGTGCCTTGCAGCGAAAGCAGAAAAACCGAATCTTGGCCCTTAAACTTCCTCCAAATGATTGGTGCTTTGACACAAATAAACTTAAGGAAGAAGCGGTTAATTTTTTCAAAATATCTATGCATGCGATGAGGACGTGGTAGGGAATTTTCCCATTTCAGGTTACTTCCCGGCTATTCCGTCTCATTTAAAGGATTTCATGTCCATTGAACCCGATGATAAGGAAATCTATGAAGCTCTTAAGGATATGGCTCCCCTAAAAGCACCGGGGCATGATGGCCTCCATGCAGAATTTTTCCAACAACAGTGGCACGTGGTGGGTCAATCTGTCTGCAGCATGGTGAAAAACGTTTTTGCAAGAGGTGACATTGAAGCGAACCTAAACAAAACTGTGCTTGTTCTAATCCCAAAAAAAGAAGGACCTGAAACTTTTGCGGACTTCCGTCCTATCAGCTTATGCACAGTTATGTACAAACTCATCACAAAAATTATTGTTCGTCGCATAAAACAAGTGATGCCTATTCTGATCATGCTGAATCAAACAAGCTTCGTCGCTGGTCGCTCTATCACTGAAAACATCATTATAAATCAGGAGGTAATCCATTCCATGCGCCAACTCAAGACAAAGCAAGGTTAGATGGCAATTAAGGTGGATCTTGAAAAAGCTTTCGATCGTCTCCGATGGGATTTCATTCAAGACTCGCTCACTGATGCTGGCTTCCCACCATGCACTATCCGACTCATAATGCATTGTATCACTTCGACCTCTATGCAAATCCAATGGAATGGTGAGAACTCTTCTGCGTTCCAACCAGAACGGGGTATCCGACAAGGTGACCCACTTTCCCCATACCTCTTTGTTCTTGCAATGGAACGTCTTGGCCATAGCATCCGTAAATGTGTTGAAGAAGGTGATTGGAAGGGTTATTCCTTTTCCCGGTAGGGTCTCTCCATCAGTCATTTATTCTTTGCTGATGATCTTATGTTATATGCAAAGACTGACCTTCACCATGCGGAAATCATTGAGAAAACCCTCAAGGAATTTGGGTATTGCTCGAGTCACAATGTTAGTAAATGGAAGACGCATATATACTTCTCGCCTAATACCACCATATCCACGAAATCTTCTATTCTATCATGTCTTGGTTTCCAAGAAGTTGAATCTATGGGGAAGTATCTTGGAGTTCCGGTCCTCCACAGACGTATGAAAATTGCAGATTTTGATTTCATCTTTGACAAGTTCAGAAGTAAACTAAATGGATGGGCTGCTCGATCCCTATCGCTTGCAGGGCGTATTACTCTGACAAAATCAGTCCTTTCAGCCATTCCGAATTATTTTATGCAAGTCATGCCATTCCCTAAACGAGTCTGTAATGAGATAGAAATTGCGGCAAGACGTTTTATTTGGGGGTCGGAACCATCTGGCAGGAAGATCTCTCTAGTTAACTGGACTATCGTTTGCAATCTAATTGATCGAGGAGGTTTGGGGTTTGTTCGACCTCTTAAGCAAAATGAAGCTTTCATGATGAAGCTTGGCTATTCCCTTATGGTGAAGACAAACTCTTACTGGGTCCAATTACTCAGACAAAAATATAAAATCCAGGAAGCTCACCCTATATCAATTGAAAAACACAACTGCTCCCCATTATGGAGAGGAATATCGAAAGTATGGAGACAATTACTCTCATGTTTGGTTTGGTCAGTGGGTAATGGGAACTCTATAACTTTCTGGAATGATAATTGGGTACCGAGCTTGGGGCATTTACGAGACTATGCCCGAGATGATATACATGCTGATTTAACCCAGAAAATTCACAACTTCGTTGATGTTCATGGCTATTGGGATGTTGCAGCTCTATCTCAAGTTCTTATTCCAGATGCCATACCTCACGTCATCAATGTCCGACCCCCAGATAGAAACGATAAACCCGATGCACTGATCTGGAGATGGACTCCTGAACTTAACTTTACAATTAAGTCAGCTTATACTTTTCTCATGAAAGATAACTGGAATGAAAAAAGCTCTATTTGGAAGGTAATTTGGTCCATCACTGCTCCTCAACGAGTTCGTATGTTTACATGGCTCGCATATAAAGAAAAAATCATGACGAATTATGAGCGGGGAAGACGACTGCTCACAAATAACTATTCCTGTCCGACTTGTGGTGCAGCAACTGAAACTGTAATTCATGTGCTACGTGACTGCCCACCAAGTCGACACATGTGGTTGTGCGTTGTGCCCCAATCCGCCTGCTCAAGCTTTTTCGGGACTGACCTTCATTCATGGATTACGCAAAATATCCACATGCATCGTCCCTTATGTGATGGTGATCCCTCTTGGTCCTCTCTTTTTACTACCCTCATTTGACTAATTTGGAAACAAAGGAACGATTATGTTTTTAAGGGCGTCACTTATAAAACTGACTCGATCATTCATAGTAGTTATAGCTGGGCCAAATGCTATGAAACCAATATCAGGAATCCTACTGCATGCTCGAGACAACAGGGGGCTACTTCAACATGGTCTTCGCCACCCCGAGGATGGACGAGTTTAAACACTGATGGTGCAGTTGCGACACTTGATGGGCGAGGTTCGATTGGTGGTGTGTTTCGCAACTCCAGTGGTGACTGGATTACAGGTTTTACAAAGAATATAGGGATAACATCTGCCCTCCACACAGAACTCTGGAGCATCTATGAAGGTTTACTCATTGCAAGGAGCCTTGGGGTTCTCAGATTATTGATACAATCAGACTGTAATAGAGCAGTCAAGCTGGTCGAAGATAGTGCTGCCATTGACAGTCATTCCTCTAGTGTGCGCAATCCTGAAACAACGAAGGTCTGGATGCTGGATAACAAAGGTCCAATGGATAAGCAGGAATGAGAACAAGATTGTAGATAAGATGGCAAAGCTAGCCTCCTGGAATCACTTCAGTTTGATTCGTTTTGACTCTCCCCCTGATGAGCTTGTTGATCTTCTTCGATTAGAAGCAGTCGATGCACAACAAGACGATGCCACTAGACATGTTTAGACTACTGTCTTAGGCTTTCTTTTAATTCAAAAAAAAAAACAGAGGTTAAAAGTTTAATATTTTTTCTAAAATGGGTATGTGAATTTCTTTTTTTAATCTTATTTCCTTGATATATTAAACTAAATTTATCAACTTTTCCACTCTAGAGCCTTGTACATCCGATACTGGTTGTTTTATTGAGTCTCTTAATATTAAAAGTTATAAAATAATCACTCAACTATTTTTATGTTTCAAATTCATCATTTTTTGCTAATAAAATAGTTGTCGTTTGAGCTAGACGTTAACTTGCTGATTGAGATATAATAAATGATATTTTAATGATGTTTACTAGCACCGTCATTGCTTCCAAAGCACTAGCTCAATGACATAATATTTAAAACAATGACTCAACATCATAATGTAAACAGAGATTTGATTCACAAATTATAACTCAAACGGTTTTATAATTATATTTTATTATATCACGGTCAACAGTTTAACGTCCAGCTTGGGGGATTACCATTTTTTTAATGAAAAAGACGAGTTTATAATATATAAATAGTTGAGTAGTCATTTTGTATCTTTTAATAGTAAGCGACTCAACAAAATATTTTATAATTAAAAGACTATTTTATAATTTTTAATAATAAAAGTACTCAATTAAGTAACATCCTATGATGGGGAACAACTTGTGTACTTTAACCATTTGCTAGAAAAATTCATTTCCTTTCTCATTTGATCGCCGACTTTTCTTCTAACTTCCCAAAGCGGCACAGGATTAATATAAGAACTGGTCAACCTTTTTCTTTAACCCATAAAATATTTCGTATTTTCTCTTTTGCCCTTGGAATATAACAAGAATACGATTTATTATTAAGGGTTTATTATACTTTACATGCTTGTATAATAGGTCAAATTATAATTTAGTCTCTAAATTCCAAATTTTTTAATTAAATCCTCAAACAAAAGTATCATTTCAGTCATATCTTTCAATTCTTTTCTTCGATTTAGCCGATAGCTTCTTTGTTAACTTCCAGTTAGATCTAACGCATTGAAAAACATTTCTTAATCTTTTGTTTCTAAACATGTATCTAATGCAAAAACTATCAGTGGGGTTATTAAAAAAACACGGTTAGAATGAGATCCATTAATTGACTGAGCGGTCAGTGATATTCATATTATCTCATCTTGTGTTGATTCGATTTCTAGCATTTACTTTAAAATGTAATACCTTTCTACTTAATTAAAAAAAATCACGGTTAGAATGATGCTTTATAGTTTGAAAATTCAATTAAAATGTTTTAAACTTACGGATTAATTTAAAATTTTACTCATAGTTTGGGGATATGTTAAGAGAATTAATCTATTTTTTAAATTTAATTGTGACGTTAACGTATGGCTATTCATTTGAATGGCTGTTGTATAAATACTGTGATTAATATATTGGATCCGCTTGGTCTCCAGTCCACTTTATGAAGTTCTTTCCGTTTCATTTTCATTGGCTCCTTCATGCAGGTCTGTGTTAACTCGACCCTTCCGGCCCCAAACTTGCACCTTTTCCAAGCCAAACAGGCAAGCTTCAAATGCCGGAAATCACCTCTAAAGCTATCGTCTACTGAGTCAACTCGGAAGCACCTTTCCAACCTCGAAAAGCTCCTCCACAGAACGAACCAACCCGACCAGGAACAAGCTATCAAAGCCCCCACAAAAGGGTCGATTAACAAAAGTAAGGTTTTACTGGAAGGGCTGAATCTTCCGAGGATTTGGCCTCAAACGAGAGCCGCCGAAGAGATGTCACCGCGTCACTTAAACAGGGTTCAGATGCTTTTCTCAAAAACAATGGAGTATTCTCCGAGGAACAATCTGGGTTCACGTTGGAGAGAGTACCATGGGTGCAACGACTGGTCCGGTTTGCTTGACCCGCTCGATGAGAATCTACGGCGGGAAGTGGTCCGATATGGGGAATTTGTTCAAGCCGCTTACCACGGTTTCCATTCGAACCCGACCATGCCGACCGAGCAGGCTCCTTTACCGAGGCATGTGGCGTTGCCGGATAGATCATATAAGGTGGCGAAGAGCCTTTATGCCACTTCGTCAGCCGGTTTTCCGAAATGGGTGCACGATGTGGCTCCGGATCTCGGATGGATGACTCAACGATCAAGTTGGATCGGGTTTGTGGCGGTTTGCGATGATAGGAGAGAGATTCAACGTATGGGGAGGAGGGATATTGTTATTGCTTTACGTGGAACCTCTACATGCCTTGAATGGGCCGAGAACTTTAGAGCTCAACTAGTTCCACTCCCTCAATCCATTGAAAAGGTGGAATGTGGATTCTTGAGCTTGCACAGCACACGCGGCGCTCACGTGCCTAGCTTGGCTGAATCTGTGGTTAAAGAAGTCCAAAGATTGATTCAAATATACACAGGTGAAACCCTTAGCATTACAATCACAGGTCATAGCCTTGGTTCGGCATTATCTCTTTTAGTTGCCGATGAGATAAGTTCATGTGCACCTAACGTTCCACCGATTGCTGTGTTTTCGTTCGGAGGACCTCGAGTCGGTAATAAAGGCTTCGTCCAACGACTTAGTCGAAAGAATGTTAAAGTACTACGAATTGTGAACAATCAAGATTTGATCACTAAGGTTCCGGGCCTATTCATTGGAGAAGGAACAAAACAACCACAAGATCAACGAGAGGAACGGAGGAACAAAGGTTTTCGAAGAGTGTTCGATATGGTCATCTGTGAAAACAATCCGTGGGCGTATGCCCATGTCGGAACGGAATTAAAGGTCGATACTAAGATGTCACCTTACTTGAAACCGGATGCTGACATAGCGTGTTGTCACGATTTGGAGGCTTACTTACACTTGGTGGACGGATTTCTATCATCCAATTGCCCCTTTAGATCAAATGCGAAAAGAAGTCTAGTGAAGTTAGTTAACGAACAAAAATCAAATGTGAAACAGTTGTATACCCATAAGGCCTTAAGTTTGAAGGTTGAAAGGGATAATAGGTTAAGTATCCCTATGCCAAGTTGTTTGCCCAGTCCATCTCGATAATTAAAGCAAACACAAAAAGTTAACTTGAAAAATAAAAAGCCTTGCACATATATTATGCGCCAATATATAGCAGTCTACTTTTGCTGTATGGAAGGAGACAACTTTGTTGGATGTTAAAGTCACTCTTGTTCCCAACTAAAACCTCCTTCACATTCTCACATTCTTAACACCCAACTTGTCCATCAAATAATCATGTTGTTGTGTTCCTAAAGCTTTGGTCATGATATCACTTAATTGTTGAGATTATGATATGTATTCTGCATAAATTTACCCTACAAAGTGATCTTGCTATCATACTTTACTTTTTTTTATTTCCATTAAATCGAAGAATTTCCTAATTTGACGTAAAAACTAGTGACATATCTTCTTCACGTTAGGAATGAAGTCCAATCTAATTCACAAAATATTGTCAATTGACACTCAATGGAAGCTTCCATCAGTATTTCATCCTTGGATACTTTTTCACATATCTAACAATTCTTATAGATGCTCCCAAATGTGGTCGTTTTGATTGCTTCATAAATTGGTTCAAACGTCAACAATGTAATATCGTACCTTATATGTGTCAAGTATATTAATCGACCAATTAACCTTTGATACACTACCTTGTCTTCTAACAAAGCATCATTAGAGGCTTGCTGCATCCTTGGATCAAAGTTCGCAAAAGTTAATTTTATATTTTTCTCCATGTTAAGATAACTTAAAGGATATATTGTTCTTACATACTAAACAAGAGAATGAGAATGAAAAGAATACTTTTGTAATCATTTTATTTATGAGTGCACCTTTTACCAAGCACAATGATAAGCAATATACATTGATACAAAACCCAGATGGTTACAGAGAGAGAGAGAGGTAAAGAAATGACACCTAGAGCAAACCTGCCACCTAGACTTATACTCCAACAATCCCCCTACGAAAGAACTTTCAAAACTCCCTTTTCAACCTTTAGCAGTCTCATTGCATCGAAAAATAGGCTAATGCTAAACTCTTATCCTTAAGCTGGAAAAACAACTACCGCGACTTATGCTTTAAAAACAAAGACGAGGACAAAGGCTTCGTCATCACATCTGTAACATGTTCATAAGCCGGGACCTCATGGGTTTGCAATTTGCCACTGGCAACCATCTCCCGAACAAAAAAAGAAAAAGAAAAAAGAAAATCAAGTTCCACGTGCTTGAACTTCGAGTGAAGAACTGGATTAGCACACACCACCACGGCACTCGAGCTATCACACCAAAACATAGGACGACCATTCGGGACAATATGCAACTTGCCCAAAAAAGACTCAAGCAAAACAACCTCAACAGCTGCACAAGCAACACTAGGATATTCTACTTCTACCGTAGAACGAGCAACCACTTGTTGTTTGCAAGAACTTCATGAAACAAGATTCCCTCCAAAATGGATGAAATAACCTGTAGTGGAACTTTGATCATCGGTATCTGACCCCTAGTTTGCATCAGCAAACCCAATCAACACAAGCTGGGAGGAAGCTGAAAAACGCAGACCAAAATCAATTGTACCATGTAAATAACGTAGAATCTGCTTCACGGTCTAAAAATGAACATCAAGAGGAGTTTTTATAAACTGACACATTCGATTAACAACAAACGCTATTCTGGTCGAGTGATTACAAGATACTGTGACGCACCAACAATGCTCCTATACTGTGCACTATTATCAAGAGGAGATCCCTCATTTGCAAAGAGTTCACAATCCGCCATCATAGGAGTAGAGAGTCCTTTGACATCTGCAAACCCATTCTTATGCAACAATTCTCGCACATACTTTTGTTGATTTAGCATAATACCACCAGACTCAGAGCAAACTTCTATATCCAGGAAAAAATGAAGTAAGCCAAGATCCTTCAATGCAAACTGCTTCTTTAGTTTCTCAACAACTAACTGGACCTCAACTCTTACTATCACCAATGAGAATTATATCATCTACATAAACCAATAGATATACAACACGATCAGTAATCTTCCTAACAAACAACGAGGAATTAGACTTGGCCAACACAAAACGCTCAGCATCTAAAAATTGCTTTAATCTTTCGAACCATGCCCGATGAGCTTGCTTCAGGCCATAAATCACCTTATGTAACTTATATACAAGACTACCATCACCCTTCTCATAACCAGGTGGTCATGTCATATACATTTCTTCAGTCAAAATATCATTTAGAAAGGCATTGTTGATGTCCACTTGCTTGAGCTTCCAACCCCTCGATAAAACAAGAGAAAGAATCACCCTGACAGTAGCTGGCTTGACCACAGGACAAAACACCTCATGATAGTCGATCCCTGGCTGTTGAAGAAAGCCCTTGGCCACGACTCGAGCTATATATCTCTATAGAACCGTCGACATTTCTTTTAATTTTAAAGAACCACTTGCAGTTCACGACCTTCTTATTTTTCGGCAAAGGAACAACAGTCAAAGTTTCATTCTTCACCAAAGCCTCATACTCAGCTTGCACAATACACTTCCAGTGAGGACTTAACATGGCTTCTTTAATGTTTTTCAGTTCTCGATCTACACTAGCAGCATGAAAAATCTTTGGCTTTACAATACCATTTTTACTTCTGGTTATCATAGGATGAATATTGAACTCTCTGGCACCATTATGCAAGGTCAAACTGACCTTAAAAAATAGCAGAATTTGGTTCTTCAACAATACTAGACCGAGGGTGTCATCATCCATTTTATCCGGTGGTCACACATTTCATACTATAATAAATATAATTGGCATATTAGATATATCATATATTATATGGTATAATAAATATTTGCATATAAATAATTACATATCATATAGTTGTATTTGCATTGCATATTAAATAATTGTATATTATAAATAGTATTGCATGTTATATTAGATATTAAATAATTAGCATATTATATAGTTAGTGTATACTATATAGTTGGCATGTTAGAATAAATAGTCCATATTATAAAATAGTCTATATTAGAATATAAGCCCATTTTTAAATAATGAAAAACCACATAAATTGTCCATTGCATTAAATATTTAGGCCCAAATAAATAGTAGCCCATGCATTTTACAACTATATACAAATAAAATGAAAAATAAAAAAACAAATCCTAGCCATTCACACATGTAGCAGCGGATTTTTGGGTATTTTTGGGGAGAATTTTGTTGCTTTGAAAAGTCAAAAATGAAACATTAATTAGTTGTTCATCTTTTTAGGAGCTAACATCACCTATCCTTTGTGAGAAAGCATAAACCATCTCCACCATTTATTAGCCTCCATCCAATGGCTAGTTTGCTTCAATCCATGTGAAAGAAGCACAAAATCATATGAACCCTTGGATGGAAAGATGGATCCAAAGACCACAATAATGCCATATCATCAATTCAAGTGTTAAATCAATATTTAATCTTAGCCATTGGATAAAGGATGGATCCAATGGCTAAGGCTTCATCTTCCCAAAGGAGACAAAGTTTCCCCGATGTCATCACCGGTCGGGAGTGTCGCTAGCGCGTGAGTCACATGCGCCGATTCAGTCATCTTCTTTGACGAACTATCGTCGCATCGTCGCCATGCCGCTGCTGGTTGAAGTTCGAGCATGCAAAAATATCACAAAAATACTAAAAAATTAGGAAAATAATGTTCTCGATTCAAGTGGTTACAACCGTTTTTTCTTAATGATTTTTGAGCAGGAATCATCAATTCAAGGCCAAAATCATCAATATATAAAGCTTTCAATCATTAGTATTAAACAAAACGAAAATGACACAACGAACAAAATCATCAAGTAGAAGAATTGAAGCATTAATCTGAATATCTCGAAGGAAAGAGTTGGAAAAGGAGTTTTTACCCTTGGGATTTCATCGTCGCCATTCGTCGTTAAGGTGAGCTTTGCTTTGTGGCTTTCTTTTTTCCCCGGTTTGAACGGGTCTTGGTCAGGTCGATTAGGTGGTCGACCGACAGTGGTGAATGGTGGTCGGAGTTCAGCTGGCAGTGGAGAAAGGCATCGAGTTATGGTGGCCAGCGGGTTTCGGTGTTTAGGGTGGTGGTTGTTTTATTTGGGTAGTTTAGGATGGGAGAAGAAAAGGGGAAATCCTATTGGATTTGAGTTTAGGTTTAGGATTTGTTCTTGGAGATTTTGGGGTAGGATAAGAATGAGGTTAAAGATTTTGGTATTTTAAGTGTTTTGATCTAAAAAAATAGTTTGAAAATGGTTTTGGATGTTTATGTGGATTAAAGTAGGTTATTGGGCTAGAACATAGGAAGAACTTGGGAAGAAAAGTGTTGTTTGATATTAAAAAAACATTTTCGGTTGGTTTTGGTTGTTTTTTTTGGGATCTAGACTTGTGTTTTGGGATGAACTATGGATGAACATATGATGAACATTTGAAGGAGTTGGGAGGATTTCTTGGTGATTTTCGGCTAAGGGAGAGAATGGAGGGGAAGAGAAATTTTTTTAGGACAAAAATGAGGCATGCCCTAAAATATTTGAGTTTTATAGTGTGTATTTTTTGGGCTAATTGCTTCATTAAAACCCCCATTGTATGCGTGTTTTTCTTTGGAATGTGGCTTTTTCTTTGTTTTATTTTAGTCACCAAATTATTGTAATTTGTTCCCCGAATTTTGATTGAGTTCAATTTAGTCATCAATTTCACTCCAATTGTTTTAATTATTATGACAAATGTGTTTAATTACTAATATTAAATTTTAATTATTGGATCTTTTAAAATGGTCATTCGTTTAATCATAACATTAAACCCTTAGATTTTTAATCTTTTAATTTAATCACTAATATTAAAATTAAGCCTTAGCTTTTTAATCAAGCCTTAGACTTTAAGTTCTTTAGTTTTAGCTTTATTAATTAGTTACAGCTTTAGTTGTAGTTCTCTAATTAGAAATTAATTAAGTTTAGAATTATCCTTTTAGGATTAGTTTTTTAATAATTAATTAGAAATCAATAAATAAATTCATAATTTGATTAAATATAATCTATATTTATCTTTAAAT